GGGATCACAGTGGTATCACAGTGGTATCACAGTGGGATCAAAGCGGGATCACAGCGGGATCACAGTGGGATCACAGTGGGATCACAGCGGGATCACAGTGGCATCACAGTGGAATCAAAGCGGGATCACAGTGGGATCACAGTGGCATCACAGTGGGATCACAGTGGTATCACAGTGGCATCACAGTGGGATCACAGTGGTATCACAGTGGCATCACAGTGGGATCACAGTGGGATCACAGTGGGATCACAGCGGGATCACAGTGGGATCACAGTGGGATCACAGCGGGATCACAGTGGTGTCACAGTGGGATCACAGTGGTATCACAGTGGTGTCACAGTGGGATCACAGTGGGATCACAGTGGTATCACAGTGGGATCACAGTGGGATCACAGTGGTATCACAGTGGGATCACAGTGGTATCACAGTGGGATCACAGTGGGATCAAAGCGGGATCACAGTGGGATCACAGTGGTATCACAGTGGGATCACAGTGGTATCACAGTGGTATCACAGTGGGATCACAGTGGTATCACAGTGGGATCACAGTGGGATCACAGTGGTATCACAGTGGGATCACAGCGGGATCACAGTGGGATCACAGTGGGATCACAGTGGCATCACAGTAACTGTAAACGTGTATACAGGATCCGTCGTCACGGTGCTCCGCTGCTCAAATGAGCGTTGAGGCATTGGTGCTCATCGCCCGTTTACATCTCTGAGCCAGTGGTGGAAATTCCACATTCCTATGGCGGCGTGATGGGGGTGGGGGGGTTTGGGTCGCGATTCCACCCAGCATCACCACTGGAGCAGAGAGGTCGCAGCAGCTCCTCTCGTACCCAGTGCAGGAATGCCCCGAGCAGGGATGAATCTCCGCAGGTTCAACTCCCGCCGTTGAGAGTCGACTCCAGTACGCTCCACCCACCCCGCGTCGTCCACAGCCACCGCAAGTAATCCGATTGCACGTGACGACGAGGAGGACTGCCCCCCTTCACTGCAGCCCCCCCCCCCCCCATAACTCCGTTATCCCGTCAATCGCTCGCTTCCAAGAATAACTCGGGGACATTTCATGTAATCGATGCGTTCGGGTAGCGTTGAAGGAGGGATTGGTGACATTCTGTACAAACAGGTCACCGTTTTTGTGGCTACCGGTTTTCATTCTCATTCGGTTACCAGTAATGCAAAAAATAAAACCGGTTTTTCACAGCCTTGGTTTGTTTGTCCATGCCATTACAGGGTGAAACGCAAACACAGAACTCACGTCCTTGGGGGCACGTGACCTCACATTCCGACCCTGCAATATTGTCCAGGTGTGGCCAGGGAATGTCCGTTTGTAAACACAATTTAATTATAATAATTAACTTTTGTAAAGTGGTGCAGTTCATCCGTAGATCCCACCAATGTGCCATCGCCGTGTATGAAAAGCTAGGAAATAAACACGAGCAGAACTAGGCATAGAGTGAAGACAAATTTACCCACCCACCCACCAACTCACCCACCCACCCACCAACTCACCCACCCACCCACCAACTCACCCACCCACCCACGCACCAACTCACCCACCCACCAACTCACCCACCCACCAACTCACCCACCCACTCACCCACCCACTCACCCACCCACTCACCCACTCACTCACCCACTCACTCACTCACCAACTGACTCACTCACTCACCAACTGACTCACTCACCCACTCACCTACCCACCCACTCACTCACCAACTGACTCACTCACCCACTCACCCACCCCCTCACTCACCAACTGACTCACTCACCCACTCACCTACCCACCCACTCACCCACCCACTCACCCACCCACTCACTCACCCACTCACCCACCCCCTCACTCACCAACTGACTCACTCACCCACTCACCTACCCACCCACTCACCTACCCACCCACTCATCCATCCACTCACGCAATCAATCTCCCAGAACCAGGGTAAACGGCCAGTTTATAGAGGTGAGTTTTCATTACAGACGCAAATATATCGAACGATTCTGATTGTCTTGCAAGCAAAGTGTTCCATAATCTGAGCTGTGCTGGCAAAAGCCCGATGCACAACAGGAGCAGAGCCTTGACCTCTGAGTTACGATTCATAATTAGTTTCTGTTGGGTTAGATCGTCGTGTAAGTAAAATTATTATGTAGGTTCTTTTTTTGTTTTCATAGCCCTCCACCACCCGACAGAGGCAATGAGGATCAACTTGTGACGGTGGGCCCCGTGGCCATATATGCAGATGTATTTTTTTCAACAAAGCCCCGGATTTGCTCACAAGTGACGACATCACGTGTATCCCTGTATTTAAGAACTGAGCAGGAGGAATTATCCACAACTCTGGCTGTCGCCTGATGATGCTCGTTGTAAATACCGGCGAAACGTCACGGTACTCGAATTGTAAATGTTGTGTGTTTACTCTCCAACACACCGGTGTGCTGAACTAGTAACGAAATGGCACGTTCTGCTTACGTGACAAAGTTTACCAATTGGCTGTCTGGTAGTGGCAGGTTTAACGACTCGTTTATATTTACGTGATCTAATAAAAAAAAACTCTTATGGATGTTTTTTTTATATATACACAGGAGACCCTTGAATATCGACAAGGGTTACATTCCTGGAAAGTGCCGCGAAAGCCAAAACGGCGATATGCAATACTTAATCATTTCCCTAAATAATTAATGGGTTCGGTACACGGCAACCAAAAATAGACATCCCAGTCGAAGTAAGTACTGTATGGCAAATAAAGTTAAAGCAATAGAAATACACATTGTAAAACCCCCCATACAAAAACGTCCATAGACAATAGTGGTAGTATTTGGCTTCGGGAATTATTAACTCATAAATGTTCACATTGGGAGGCAGAAAGAGGAACACGTGGGTTAGAGCAGCGGTCCCCAACATTTTTGGCACCAGGGACCGGTTTCGTGGAAGACAATTTTTTTCACGGACCGGGTGTGGGGGGGGGTGTTCATCATTGGGTCTTTCCCCCCTTTTCAAAGAAGCTCTCCAGCAACGTTTGTTTTTACTCATTGTGGCTACTAGGGGTTAGAGCTTGTGGGCTTATCAACACCACGTGACTGAGACGAGTGCGCAGTGCGGGAAAGAGGCGCGGATGGAAGTGGTAAATAATAAAATAATGGGGGCGGGCCACGCTACCGACTCACAGCTCTCAACTCCTGCTGCTGTGCGGCCCGGTTCCTAACAGGCCACGGACCGGTACCGGTCCGCGGCCCGGGGGTTGGGGACCCCTGGGTTAGAGAAATAAGACGCAGTGTTGATGACCGTTGTTCTGATTAGGAAGCAAAGTTCAGCCGGCCAGATGACTCGGCGGGAAGAGCGGGAAAGGCCTCCGACTCGTAAAGGCTGCGAGTTCACATCCTGGTCGATTGGTGGCGGGGAAGAGTGAGGGCAGTTGGTGAAGAAGTCGACTCATCCCATCAATCCCCCCGCCGGGTCGATAAACGCGAGTACCACTTTGTGGGCAGTAAAACAACCGTGGTTGTCCTATGCGCAGAGGCGTCCCGAGGGTACGGCGAATCGGGGCGACTGCCCAGGGCCCCGCGCTTTGGTGGGGGGGGGGGGGGCGCGCTTTGACGTCACGGTGTCAGATGCAACAGCTCCGGTTTAGTTTGAAGGCGTCGGAGGATGCCCCCCCCCCCACACGGTGGAGAGATTTACCGCGGGTCCCGCACCCCCCCATTGGACCACCCTGCCTGTGGATGGACTCCACCCCGTCATAGGAACGTAGAATTCCCACGACTCTATGGTATAGGGCTGAACGATTTGGAGAAAATATCTAATTGCGATTTTTTTTTCTGACGGATATTGCGATTTGCGATTATTATTTTTTTAAGTCAAGTTTCAATTCACTGTGTAATCGATTTCAAACATGTGATGGAGCATTGCCACATGACACCATCAAAATATGAACTGCTCTATATATTCTAATGCAAGGATGATAACTTTAACCATATGAATTGCTTCCAACATGTATTCATTAAAAAAATTAATTGAAATAGAACAATCAAACATAGAACAATTGTTAAGTTACATAAATAAAACATTTATTATAAAAAAATAAAATAATTCCAATAAGAAATAGGACTTTACAAATCGCAAAAAATCGCAGCCTTTGTGATTTACTAAGCGCATTGTTTCATATTGCGATTTCGATTTGAAATCGATTAATCGTTCAGCCCTACACCACAGGGGCCGTCCATAAATGACGTCACGCACTTGGGGGTGGTCAGACATTTGTGACGATGTGTGACGAGGGGGGGGGGGGTTTGAGAAATGTGACGTCACATCAAAATGCGCAACTTCAAATAAATATAGAATTGTTATAACACTAATTGTTATAACAACACTCCTACAACATCAGAGTGCAGCGCCACATTAAATACGCACTACAATGACAATAGTTTAAAGCGATTTGAAGCGTGTTTTATTTTCAATATGGAAATATGGTTTTGGGGGGGGGGGGAAGAGCTTTGTGACGTCATATTTGAGGGGGGTCTGACTTTTTGTGACGCCATGTGACAAGGGGGAGGGGCAAAAATTGTCCAAAATCGCGTGACGTCATTTATGGACGGCTAATGATGCCTCAGTGCACCCCCCCCCCCGCGTACACCACGAACGCACCCCGCACGCGACCACGTGGACGCTTTCCCGCGCTTTTTTTTACGGCTTTCGCGCATTTTTTTCGGGCCTCGCGCGCCCCCGCCAATCACGATAGGCCGCGCTCATGCGTGATAGAAAATCCAATCGTGCTTCCGAGGCCGTCGCGTTCTCTACGAGACTCCGCCGCAGCTTTCACTTTGAATTGCATAGCACGGATAAGCTGACTGGAGCGGACCACGTGCTGACGCGGGGCCAATCGTGTGGCGGGATCGGAGGTGGGGGTGGGCGCGCGAGGGTTAACGTCAACGACCCTCGATTCCGATTCCCGCGTATCGATCCGAGGACTTAATTTCCATTTCGATAATCGATTCTCTTTGACACAAACCATTTGGGCAGATAATTGGCTCCCTTCCCCGCCACTCTTCTCCTCCACGCGTCGGGAGAATCGATACGGATTGCCACGGGTTGGAATGCGCTCGCTGGCTAAACCAAAGTCGAGATTTAGGCTTCTAATCCGGGAATCGATTCGCGTGTCGGCCTAGTTGTTTTTGTGTGCGTCGAGGAATCGGTTTGGCCACCACCCGCACAAGTCGAGTACCATGGCGGAGGCGGTCGTTGTCGCCGGCGAGGAGGAGAGGCCCAGGCTGAGTCGCCTCCCGCTCAGCCGCGTCAAGAGCATCATGAAGGCCGACCCCGACGTGGCGCTCGCCGCCCACGAGGCTGTCTTCCTCATCGCCAAGGCCACGGTGTGTGTGTTGTTGTTGTTGCGGTGTGTTGTGTAAACATCGCCACTCGAGGGAGACAAAGGCGGCCGGGCGTGGCGCTACCCACCCCCCCCCCCCCCGTCGTGTGCCACAGTGCCGGCCTTCGTAGGTGATGCTACTGTCTCTACAAGCACTGGCCCCAGCAGTCTGTTAAGACTATACGGATGACCTTTGCGTGGTGCACCTAGCCTGGCACGTGCACACGTGTGTGCGTGCGTGTATGGTTCACCTAGCCTGGCACGTGCACACGTGTGTGTGTGTGCGTGTATGATCCATCCTGGGTTTAACCACACTGGATTGTGTGAGGAGCTCACAAATCCTTGAAAGATCTGGGCACGGTCCCATCGGTGAGCTCCTCCGGCGGGCAAGGCAGCGATGGCTGGGTCATGTAGCCCGCATGCCCAGCCACCGCATGCCGAAACAGCTTTTGTTTGGCCGGATTGAGGGGGCTAAGCGGGCGCGGCACGGGCTAGAGAAGAGATGGAGTGATGTGGTACAGGAGGACGTGGAGCTGAGTGGATTTGCCGATGACTGGTACCAGCGGTGTCAAGATCGGCCTCTGTGGAGGAGGCTCGTGAAGGATGCTACTGGGCAGTTGGAGGCAGTCGCCCTCCAACAACAACGGAGGGCGGAGGAGCGACGCTCACAACAACGAGCGGAGCGCCGGGTGGCTAAAGCACAGCAGGTTGGCACAGTAGGGGGCACAGGTGGTGCATCAGCCAGTCATCTCAGACGACCCGTGGCACCTGGGTCTGCCCCGTGGCCTCAAGGTGCACATGGCCTGGCACAAGCGTCGTGGTGACGTCATTGCCACTTAGTGGCGAATGGCGGTTGTGGTTCACCTAGCCTGACACATGTACACGTGTGTGCGTGTGTTGTGGGGTGCACCTAGCCTGGCACATGTACACGTGTGTGCGTGTGTTGTGGGGTGCACCTAGCCTGGCACATTTGCACGTGTGTGTGTGGCGTGTATAGGCGACCCGAGTTCGTTTCCCGATCACGGGCAATATCGTTGACGATTATCTGAACCGGTCCTGGGCCTCCCCTAGGTCGACTCGGCCTCAAATCAGTATCTAGTGCGGTGTGTAGTAAACATCGCCAACTAGGGAGACAAAGGCGGCCGGGGGTGGTGCTGGCCACCCACCCCCTCGTGTGCCGTGCCGGCCTTAATAGGTGTTCGCTAACAACACTTGCCCCAACAGTCTGTTACAGGCTATACGGGGGACCTTTGTCTTTGTGTGCGCGCGCGCGTGGCAGGAGTTGTTCATCGAGGCCATAGCTAAGGACGCCTACGGATTTGCGCTGCAGGGAAAGCGGAAAACCCTGCAGAGGAAGGACCTGGGTGAGGGCACTCACCTCACTCACCAGCTCACCTCACCAAATAAATAAAACTGACAATTCCACCTCCTTCCCATAGACCGTCGCTTTCTTGTTAAATCCCCCGGAAGCCACGTGGCCTTCTGGGGAGGGCGTGATGTCACGCGGCATTGGTCGCTTACCACGAACTCACCACCTCGCTCACGTTAGCCGGCTCACTCGCCTCACCATCCGCACCAGCGTACACAACCTCACTAAGCACAGAAGCTCGCCCTCCTCACCTCGGCTTACTTTGCTCAGACAACCCCGGAACGAATCTCACCCATGCCTTACCAGCTCATCCACTCGCCGATTAAAATCTCCCTCGCTCAGCCCGCCTCACCCAGATGGCCAAATATCAGTTACCGCCTGACCAGCCTCACCTGACCCATAGCGCCGCCTCCCAGCACCAACCTCGCTCACCTCACAACCCCGATCACATCGCCGAGCATCACTAGCCCCACTGAAACCTCGACGACGAGCATCTTGCGTCACGCCGCCACGCTCACCTCAACTCACCTTTGTTCTTTTTTTTTTGCCCAATGGAAATACATTACCTGGAAAAAAATCTCCCTCGCGATGAGGGATTGGTCACCCGTGTGGCCATCGATGACACCGTAAATCCCCCCCCCCCCGAAAATTACCGGCCCCCCCTCCCCCCCACGTGCCCTCATCCCCCCCCCCCCAACTCCCAGAGAAGGGATCAGCCGAGGTGATACTCAAACCCGCACGCTCCGCTCCTCCCGGGGGTTGTTGATGGATCCGGCGTCGCCCGGCTCTGCGCGCCCCTGCCATTGTCTCTCCCCTCCGCGTGGACGCGATGTGCCACCAGGCCGGTCTCTCGGTGGTGGTGATGTTAACTACCTCGCCTGGTATGCACGAGGTCATGGGTTCGATGCCGGACCCTGACGGCTGTTGTATGTTTGGGGTTTGCATGTTCTCTCCGTAGTCACGTGGATTTTTATCCAGGTCCTCCAGTTTTTCCCACCACATTTAGAAACACGCGTTTAAGAGTATTTGGCTGCTATAAATGTCCACGTGCTAAGCCACTTTGTTAAGCTGTCATTTGTGGCCAGGTTGCTTCTGAAAAAAAGCTCTATAGCTCAGTGGGACTTACCCGGTAAAATATTTTTGTTTTACCTTACTACCCCGTCACCTCCCTTATGCTGGGTGGAGAGAAGTCCAGGGAACTCTAGCCAGACGCATCACGGCCAAAAGTGACAATGGCGGCCGACGGTTAAGACTAATAATGAAGCGGCCGCCAAGGAACGGCACCCGTCCGTGAGGAGGGACCACCGTGGAGGAGATGGAGCGAGGTGCCGGGTCGATCGTAGGATCGTGACAGGTGGCGGTGGCTTGGAGAGTAAACTAAACTGTAAAACTGTTTTTACTGTAGCTCTTTTTCGGAAGTGACCTGGCTATCACAAATGATAGCTCGCGTGGAAATGTATAGCAGCCAAATACGAAGCGCGTGTTGCTTCTAAATGTTGAGGGAAAAACCCGCGGACCCGGAGGAAAATCAATGCCGCCACGGGGAGACACGAGACGCAAACTCCAAATATACAGCAGGCGTTAGGACGGGGATCGAACCCACGGCCTCCTGCATACCAGACGAGGGATTTAACATCTCACCACCGCCTTCATCTAGCAGTGGATTGATTATGGCTGATGATGATGATGATGATGACCGCTGAGAATACACGTGCGCATGTTTTACGAGCGTGAGTGCGGGGAGGTTGTGTTTGCGCCCCGGCTGCTCTCACTCCCTCCTCCTCGTCTTTTTTTTTTTGTGGTGCCGCTGCTGCTGCTGCCCTCGACGTTCCTGCTGAAGACAACGCGGTGGACGCAGTGGACGAGTTTGCGTTTCTAGAAGGTGAACAACGACCTCGTTCGCCGCATCTCCACGCTCGCCCGCTCGCCATAGCTCGGGCAAAACACACGCACACGCACAAATACAAAGATCCCCCGTGTAGTCTTAATAGACTGTTGGAGCAAGTGCTGTTAGCGAGCGGCACCTATGAAGGTCAGCACGGCACACGAGGGGGGGTGGGTGGCCAACATCACGCCCGGCCGCCTTTGTCTCCCTAGTGGTGATGTTTACACACCGCACCAGTTATTCATTTGAGGCTCCACACACAGCTCCACGTCTCGCCTAAGATTGTTACGTAGCGCCGACAACCACAGGAGATGGGTCACCACTTGCGTTCGGGGCCACGGGCGGTGGCAGGTGTGGAGGGGGTACTGCGTCTCGCCAGGGCCCCTCTCCCGCGAGTGATGCCCGTCACGCGCAACCCCGCACGGTACAATTTCTAAGCCACGGTCACACCTATACACCGCAATTGATTCGCATGAAGACGTGCGATCGTGTGTCCGTGGCTCGGGCCAGCACCGTGTATTTTGCGGCTAATCAATGGCAGGTTTTGCATTATTTGCAGATGTGTGTTATCCGGGCCGTCCCTGCTTCCCCAGCCATTGCCCCAGATAATTACCAGGAGCTTACAGCTTGCTTTTTATTCATTTCGTAGTTTTCTCGGTGCGCAGGCCCAAAACGTCAACGGCCAGCAACGCGCAGCGCCGCCCTCGCAGTCATCATTTGATAAAAGAGTTGACGGGGTTTCTTGCATCGAGCGAGGTTGTTGTAAGAGCGTTTGGAGAAAAGAGACGATGACTGTTTACAACTCGTGCATCCAGATACCGGTGTTTCGCGTTTTTTTTGTCCGACGCATGCAGTCAGTTCGCGTGACCCCCCCCCACAGCTACTAGCGGCCACTACAATTCCCTCGGTCCGTGCCTTTAACCGCGAACACCACGCGCCGTCTCCATGCCTGGAAGGGCGTTAAAGGTCGCGTGACAAGCGAGCCATCGCGTGCCGGCGCCGCGATGCAAATCTGCCAAAAAGTGCCCGCAGAATGCCACGTAGGGACCAGCTGCCACTGGGTGCGCCCTTCGAACGTTTGAGGCGAGATGCGACGTACCGCCTGTTCTCATCACGCGGTAGTTTAGCTCCTGAAGAATGCCGCGTTATGGAAAAATTGCGTTGTAATAAATAATATAGGGTAAAGCACCGTCCGCGATAACACGTGACAAACGTACGCAGGCTCAACAAAGATTGAGGCGCGTGGGTACCGGCTAGAAGCATCCAGCAGCATCCCGCCTTGTGCGAAGCTACGCCAAGGCAGCCGTACAAACCGCTTATTCCTACGACGTAGCTCTGCTCACTCAATCGCGTTATATCCAATTCTCTTCCGTGTTATAAAAAAAGCGTTAACTATTTACACTCGTCGCGTGATGTGCAATTCGCGTTATGAAAGCTACGCGTTATAGGTGAACGGGCTGTACAGCGCTTTGGGTCGCTATGCCGTTTAAAAAAGCAAAGGCCCATAAATACGTGGCCTTGTTATTGTGGTTATTATCGTCACGTGCCCAGCGGTCATCTCTCTCCCTCCACTTGCACTTTGCCCCCAGGAGCACTGGACTAGCCTCGCCCGGGTCGGAGGTCAACTGTTGCTCACCGGCACCACCGATGAACCGGCTGGTCGCTCGCCCATCGTCCGCAATCAACTCCTGGCGACGGGACTGCTGCTTCGGCGTTTGTAGCCGTCTGTCGAACTGGTCACTTGTTGTCCACCGCTGAGTTGATCAGTCGCTCGAACCAAATCGCTCTCTCGAAATCACAAGTTTCAACCATTTGTTGAATTGGAAATTATTCTTCTCTGTGTGACTGACGCCGCTGTAAAGCAACAGCTGTCATTTTACATCGAGGTCGGTAGTAGCGGAGTGGTGCATTGCCGCTCAGATGATGCCTCCTTGTATATATCTTGTGCGTTTGTGGGTCCCTCTTTGCGAGTATGGTTCTTTATGTGAATTCTATAGATTTATATGAGTCTATGGTGCTCTGTGTGTCTGTGGCTTAGTGGGAATCTGTAGATCTGTGCGAGGCTATGGGTCTCTGTGAGCATGGTTCTGTATGTGAATCTGTAGACCTGAGTCTGTGGGTCTCTTTGTGAGTATGCGTCTCGTGTGAATTTATACATCTTCTGTTGCTGATGTTGATGTCGAGCAACGGCTGTAATTTTATATTGAGGTGGTTGAGCCGGATGATTGCAACAAGAGTGGCAGAGTGGGGTGTCACTGACGATGCCTCCTCCGTATTGCTGGATCGGGCGTTGAGTCTAGGTTATATGCTCCACGGTTCCGTTCCGGGTGACCCCACAATTCTTCGTCCAAGTAAGAACTCGGAGAGACCGGGATGGAGTCTCATTCGCACGAGAGAATGACCTGGGCCACAATGACGAGAAAAACAAAGGACAACAATGAAGCAAATAAACATCGGAGAGCAAAAAACCAACCAATTAGAATTCGGAACAAAAATAGCAGTGGTACAAAAGAAATCGAAAACGGTGGACAAACGTAAATCACTGTTAAATAAAATAGTTTCCTCTAACAATGGTTTGGACAAATACAAATTCATGGTAACAGTTAGCGACACACGCAAACGCATCTAGGATGATTATTGCGCTAATGTGTGAACACAATGAGGGCACCGTTACTTGGCAATCGCGCGCAATTTAATCGTCGCCTGTAACGGCTTTGCCCGCGTCTGGGCGAGTAGTTGCAGCGTGTTGATGACGCAGGAATGTCTGGCCCCGCCCCTTTACAGCATAGCCCCGCCCTCTCGTTAGTCCACCCTCTGCCCGGCCCACACCCGGGATTGCACTGTGGACCAATTGTGTGGATGCGTGTGTAATCAGATGGGCGTGCGTGATTTTTCGAACTTGTTTATTGTCAAGTGTGGAGTTGTGATTATTAAATTGACTTTTACTCTTGATCAGAATGGTGACGTTTGAAATGTTGAATATCTATGCATCGGAAAGCACTTTTCCACTTGAGGTGGGTCAGATGGTTCAAGATGTCATTTCACAAAGCTGGCAACGCTGAGAGTCTGGGTTCGAAACCAGGTGATTAAATCTGCGATTAATCAGGGCTCTTGGTACGCAGTAAGTTGATGGGCTCAACCCAGTCAATAATGACTTACAGAGACACATCGATTTAAAGAGACCCATAGACTTAGACTGGGTTTTGATTAAACAGGGTTGTCAAGTGTTGCATAACAAAAAAACAATGCCATACATTTATTTTGTATTGCACTTTATTTGGCTACATTTCAACTCCTGAGTAATATAAAAAAAAGAATATTGCCTTTACCGTCGTGTTTATGAACATTCCTCTATTGTAGAGTGGGTGAGAAAGTACTGCCCCCTACTGTGCGCACCAGAGATCACGTGAACATGTCTCGGAGGTAGCTCTGCGTTATCCGCTTTCCGCGGGCCGTTCTTTTAGCAACACCAAGGGCTCTTGAGCGGGATTTTTCGTTTCCTATCGCGACGCTGATGACGTGATCGGAATACAAATTTGCGGGGGGTTCGGGAAGACAAATTACCGTGCCGCATGTGTTAAGTTACTCGGACGGAACAATAAATAAACTTATTTAAAATTCAAGCTTGTAACAAAACGTAGCATTCATTACCGACACTGCCTGGTAACAGTAAGACACCCAACCAACTCGTGCCAAGTACGGCGCATCTCGGAAGCGAGGCAGAATTGAGCATGGCTCGTAGTATACTCGAATCGGGTGACCACCGCCATCATCAGGGCTTGCCAGGTGTTGTAGAAGCGACGCTGCGAGGTGTGGCCAGGAGATGGCAGCGGTGCTGAGTGTCTCTCCGGTTTCCTCTCACGGAAGCCGAACTTCGTGTGAGGTGCTGTGGTGCTGCGAGATGTTAACTCCTTCGCCTGGTATCCAGGAGTTCGTGGGTTCGATCCCGACCTTGACGTCTGCTGTATATTTGGAGCTCGCGAAGTCTCTCTCCCCGTGGTCGCGTGGATGTTTCTCAGGTTCGTTGTTTTCCCCCTCATTTAGAAACGTGCGTTTAGAGTATTTGGATGTGATAAATTTCCCCTTGAGAAGCCATTTCATTGGGCTAATAATTGTGGCCAGGTCGCTTCTGAAAAAGAGCTCTAGCTCAGTGGGTCTTACCTGGTTAACTAAAATAAAATTGATATTCTATGCTTCTTTCGGTAAAGTCACGTAGATAGAGGAAAAAAATAATTATTGTTTTTCTATCGACGTGACTTTACTGAAAGAACCATAGAATATGGATTCCTGCAGTTACGAAAGTTTTAAGTCAAAATTAAATAAAAATTGTTTAGTTTCGAGGAGGGGCCTCGGGCAGGATGCGTCCCGGCCAGAAGTGGAGAAGGCCGGTGGCTGAGACTAATGATGGAGTGGTAGCGAATGGAGGGAATTGCTCGATGTGGCTTTCCTCAAAACAAAAAAAACTACCGTTATGCCAAATGTTTACCCAGCAAAGCCTTACATTTTTAACCAGGATCTTGCTACATTTGGGATTTTTGGCGATGAATTTCATTCAAAGAGTACAAATTTTAAACTTGTTTTATTTTTCCAGGTAAGGTCCAACTGAGCGCCCTAGCTCTTTTACAGAAGCGACCTGGCCACGAATGATAGCTCAACGAAGTGGCTTGTGTGGAAATTTATTGCGGCCAAATACTCGAAACGCATATTGATTGTAAATGCGGAGGGGAAAAAAACCGAAGGACCTGGAAAAAATCCACACGAGCACGGTGGGGGGGGGAGAGAGACATGAAAACTCCAAAACTACAGGCATCAGGGTCGGGATAGAACCCACGAGCTCCTGCATACCAGGCGAGGGAGTTAACATCTCCTAGCCACCACGGCGCCACCAGTAGCAGTCACGTTGCCACTTGTTGCGTTCTCGCATCTGGGCAGTGTTGAATCACAATCTTTATTTAGACCGCGGGAATCCCATGATGCTAATGAAGCTATTCTTCGCAGATATCCAGTGGCGGCTTCGCATGCGGCCTGTAATCCGGCACAATGGAGGCGGCAGCGAGGGTTGGTTGATCATCGCACACCGACGATGTGAAACTCCCTTCTTCACGTGGGTGTCTTCGAGGTGCCCGTACCCTGTGCTCGCCAGGAGAAGCCGGTACAGCGAGTGCAGACTCATCGGCATCTGTTTATTTCGTCCGTGCGGGGATACAGCGTTGCTCCCCTCCTCCTCGCGCACGGCGTGGGTTTTTCTCCGCACGCTCCGGTTTCTTTCCCGCACGCGAATGACGAAAGCATCTTAAGCCAAAAGTCCAATGTCGCAGGAGTAGCAGCATCGGCAGCAGGTCCGTCCTGACGGAGAGTCCCAACGACTTAAGTGGCGTCTCTCCTGGGACGAATACGTGAACTGTTACATTTGTTATCTTTCGCCGGCCACGCCGAGGCAACTTAACGATGGCATTGTCGCTCACCGGACACACGACGACGCCGCCACCGCCGCGATTTGCCGGCCCTTTGCCCCGTCCGCTCGCAACGCTGCAAAAGACGAGAGGCGATTCGTCGTGGTCCGTATCCTAACAGCTCCACCGGCTTGACCACCTCTGCGGCCGCTAAAGGCCCCTGCAAGCCCAATGTTACCAACAACAACAACAACGAAGTAAATGCTTGTCAACGGAGAGTCGCGCGCGAATCCACGGTCGCGAAGCCTTACTTGCTCGGTCGATGCTTTGATTCCTACAGGGTGATGAAAACTTTTTTTACATGATGACAAATGTGATGTTAATAGCTTCAAAAAGTCAAAGAGTCTACCACTTTTTAAATTTTGATTTAAAGCTTTCGTGACTGCAGTAATTCATATTCTTAGTTTTTTCGGTAAAGTCACGTTGAAGAGAAACAACAAAATTATTGTTTTATATATATTTTATTATTTTGTTGTTTCTCTTCAACGTGACTTTACCGAAAAAACTAAGAATATGAGTCTACCACTTGTTCGCCATCATTGTCAACACGTGGCCTGGGATCTTCCCCAGGTGGTCTCCTGAGCACGGAGACACATTTCTGGTGGTGTTGTTGCAAATTCTCAGAAGTATTTAACACGAAATATTTTTTTAAGCACCCTGTATTTATGTGTTTGTAGAATAAAATTACTTTCATGTTTCCCCCCCACCGATGTCATCCCGATCGCGCCTTCTTATCGACGTCACGTCACGGTATCGATGAATCCACTTGGAAATCTCGCCGAGCAGTGTTCACGAAGAGAACGCCCCACGGAAGTGAATATCACAGAGCTACTGCTGAGGATCTCATTCTTCAAGTGTCACTCCTGGTTCACGAACAGCAGGGGGCGCTATACCTTCCCTTTCCCCCCCTTCCCTGAGTTATGTTGGTCGTATGACAGAAAATCCTATTTAAAAAAAAAATCTCAAGAGCTGGAATTCGGACAAATTAAGTGGAGAAACGAATTCAATGTGAGCAACGTTATTTGTGCAGTCATTGTTGACCAGACTGAGACCATCAACTCGATGCACTTGAGAACCTGGTTTAAAGCAACTCAGTCTCGTGTGAGTCTATGGGTCTCTGTGTGAGTGGAACTGTGCGAGTCTCTGTGAGTCTATGGGTCTTTGCGAGTCTGTGGGTCTCTGTGCGAGTCTGTGGGTGTCTGTGTGAGTCTATGGGTCTCTGTGCGAGTCAGTGGGTCTCTGCCGAGTTTTTTGGGTCAATGTGTGAGTCTATGGGTCTCTGTGAGTCGTCGGTGACCAGGCTGAGACCATCATCATCATCATCTCGCTTCACTTAAATGGAATCGTTACTGTGAATCGTGAGGGATCCTTTATCACGTGTAGGTGACACGGCGATTAAATTCCATCTCGCGCCTGGGCGCTAACCCAGACTCACCAGGTGAGGAGGGCAGCTCTCCTCACCATTCGTGTCGCCCGTTCTGACATCGGCCCACAGGGGGCGGGCTTCTCCAGGCGGAGTGAACCCTGCACTCTGCACACCTCACCACAACTCACCATCTCACCACAACTCCTCGTGTCACACTTGCGCTGTGGTACACGTGTCTAATGGCCCACGTGTTCCCTGGTACACGTGTCCCGTATCACGCGTGCTCCGTGGTACACGCGTCCCATTGTCACGTGCTCCGTGCTACACGTGTCCCATGGCCCACGTGCTTCGTGGTACACGTGTCCCGTTTCACACGCGTCCCGCGTCCCATGGGCCACGTGCTCCTTGTCACATGTGCTCCGTGGTACACGTGCTAGGGGGTATACTGTTGTTGTTGTTCTACGGGGTACACGTATACCCGTGTACACGCCTCCGCACCGATTCCCCTACTGCTGCTGTTGTTGTTGTTGCCTCCGTGTCGCCGTGGGATCGATCATTATTCTTCTTCTTCACTCTCTGGGAAGCATTATATATTTATTTAGGGGTTCCAAAAACAACACCCAAATCTATCTCGCCCGTGTACATCCCCCCCCCCCCCCCCCCCTTATGATCGTTCGGCGCGATCAATGCTCCCGCCCCCCATTACCTCCCCGGGGATTGTAGAACCCAGTCAACAGGTGGCCACCAATAGGACACCGCCCTGGGTCTATCTCCCGGCGCGGCAGTTGAAACAATGGTGCGCGTTTCTTAAACTCACCGGCTCCGACTCGGTGGGAGCTCCAGCTCCGGTGCAATGGTCACCAGCACGCTGAACTTGTCACCCAGAAGGTCGCGGGCAGGGCCGTCCATAGGGGACGGGGGGGGGGGGGTGCGGAGCGCGAGGCAATCCCCCACGGGGTGGGGGCTGTCCCCGACGCCTTCAAAATTCAAACGAAGCCGGAAGTATAACACCTGACACCGGCGCCCTGCCCCCCAAAGCGCCGGGCCCGGGGCAGTCGTGCCCTAGGGACGGCTCTGGTCGCGGGTTAGGAAACCATCGTCGTCCGGTTAGGGCAGTTTGACACCACGCCAGGCGCGGA